TCCATCACTTGAAACACCCACTCAGCTACTCATAACTACAACAAAATGACCCCGCAAAAAAAACTACAAGAGAATGAGCGAAATTTCTTAATAAACGTTCTTGTTTGACATATTTTGTTCATAAACTCAAAATGCTTGTGCTTTCCAAAAAATATTTGGAAATTTTAAAAAATTATGTTTTCACAAATTGTTTAGAATTTCACAAAATGTTCCCTTTATCATTTTTTTTCTCCAAAGTGCTAATAATATTCACGTTTTCCAAATTTGTTAGAGATTTTTCAACAAAATTTCTGTTTCTTTTGAATTTAAAATTGTTCCCATCATAAGAAATTATTAAGAGATTTCAAAAAATATCTTGTTTCCTAAATTATTTCAAAAATTCTAAAAAGTTCAGGAATTTCAAACAATGCTCATGTTTGCAAAAATAATGGAATTTCAAAAAATGTTCCGGTTTTCGAAATTTGTTCAAGAATTCAAGAAATGTTCCGGTTTCCAAAAATTGTTTCCTTCATAAATAATTATTCAGAATTGCAAAAAAAATCCTGTTTTTTGTTCAAAAAATATAAAAAGTTCAGGAATTTACAAAAATGCTCATGTTTTCAAAAATAATGGAATTTCAAAAAAATGTTTCTGTTTTCGAAATTTGTTCAAGAATTCAAGAAATGTTCCTGTTTTCAAAATTTTGCCCAAATACATTCATCGATCAAGGCTTCCCATCTTTTTGGATGGGCGACTCAACATGCTTTAAAAAAACCTGTGAAAGGGTGACAAAATTGTCGCCCCGGTCCAATTACAGCATCTTTACCGAAGTCTTTGGAGTATTTCTTCGAGCAAAGATTGATACCACGAGGAAGGCGTTTTCAAGAGATTTCATTGTAATTCTTAGTCATCGGAGTTACTTTGTATTTTCTTGGATCTTATGTCCAAATCAATGTACCCTGTAATTGTTACGAGTATGAATAAAGTTACAGGTGTTTCTTAAGAAAATGTAGTAGTAGCACGTTCACAATTTTTTTTTGTAGTAGCATCAGTCAGGAGCGCTAATTGCATCGGCTATCCACCAAATCCAAAAAAGAAAATAGGCTATATCTATTGACACTGCCGGACTAGCAAAATTATTTCCAGAAAGATTCATTAATTCTCAGCCCATTGAGGAATAATTAAATCTTGATTGATGCTGTACAATTTTACGCCGACGTTTATGCAAATTTTTTGTTCTTGGGTTTGGAGTGAGATGACATGTATCTGAGTTCCTATAGGAAAAGAGATGTCGTTTGTTGCATATGATAGGAATTTTTTCATTGTGTCTATGCTACTTTTTTCCTCTGAAATGTGAAGGATTGGTTCATATTCTACATGGTAGTAGGAGCCATTCATATAAACCAAAGGGTTCCAAAGAAATTTTTTCTACAAAATTTCTATCTTTTAGATTCCTACAGAATTTCTATAAACCAAAGGCGGCCTACATTTTTCGCAAATGTGCTCAATTAGAACCGGACCCTTAACCTGTGCCATCAGCTATATATGTCTCAAATGCAATAATGTTCTGAGCAGGATGTGATTGCTCGTGAGGAAAACGGAAGCAAAAAAGACGCCTACTATTATTGACTTTTGCAGAGAAATATCGATTCAGCTGGGCCGACTTCCGCAGAGAAATATCAATTCAGCTGGGCCTTCCAGCAGATGGCATCCCCAGGAATCCAATGGCACACAACTATCATTTTCCCCCCAAAGTGATAACATGTGTCGTCAGCACTGTTCATCTTCTAGAGAGAGAGAGAGAGAGAGAGAGAGAGAGGTGGAGAAGCTATCCGTGCTAACTACATTATTAAGGTGGATAACTGCAGTGCAGGCAACATGCAAAGGTGGAGAGGACAATAATGGTCTGAGCTCCAAGAATCCAATGACCACAGGACGGACACAGCTTCGGTGCCTTAAAGGCACATGCCTTTGGGTCACTGACATGTGGGCCAGCCATCTGTTGGACCCACATGTCATAGACACAAAGGTAGGTGCCTTAAGACACCGAAGCATTGTCCCCACAGGACGAACTCTTTCTCCCCCAAATGTATTTTTTTCTGCCTCCATTTGAATTTGAAGAGGTGGAGAGTACAATGATGATCTGAGCAGGATGTGCCTGCTTGCTACCTGTAACCATATTCCAGCGCCCTGTGGGGGTGTGGGGATCGACTATGTCTCTAGACATAGGATGCAGATTATTTTCCTCTAGATTCCTTTTTGGAGCATCGGTTTATGCTTCTAGTTTTCTCCTAGAGCACAAAATCAGTCTTTTCTTTGTGAAATTTTGCACGCATGTAAAAGACAGGAATAAAATTTTAAAGTATTCGCAAGTCACAAGAACAAGGAGAAGCACAAGGTGGAGAGGACAATAATGGTGTGCGCAGAGATATGTTGGCTTGCTTGTGAGGAACACGGAGGGAAATAATGCCTAGTACTTACTCCCTCCGTCCGAAAATACTTGTCATCAAAATGGACAAAAAGGGATGTATCTAGAACTAAAATACATCTAGATACATCCCATCTAGATACATCCCTTTTATCCATTTTGATGACAAGTATTTCCGGACGGAGGGAGTACATGTGGAAGCAAATGAGCAGACAACGGTCGGAAACTCCTAACGGTGCTTAGGGACAGGTCCAATGACCAGAGGACTAACTAGTGTGTCCTTAAACATGTGCCATAGCATTCAGTATAGTCAGATATAGGTTAAATTGCTGTGCTAGTTTACACTAGTATTGCTCAGTTTATGTACACCACGTACATGTTCAATTACAGATCAATGGATGGTGATAATTAAGAGTAAGGTCTCTAAACCTTCTAGTACATTCTAGCACTAAGCTATAATGCTAGACGTTACAACTCATGATAGACAGCACTAGCTGAATAGCTAACACAAGATACGTTGCTTAACACTGTTCATCTTCTGAGCATAGGTACTGACTGTACTATTAAGCTACTCCCTCCGTTCCTAAATATTTGTCCTTTTAGAGATTTTAAATGGACTATCACATACGAATGTATATAAACATATTTTAAAGTATAAATTCATTTATTTTACTCTGTATATAGTCACTTGTTGAAATCTCTAGAAAGACAAATATTTAAGACCGGAGAGAGTAGAAAACTCTAGCACAGAGAGCTTGGAGAGGTGGAGTCGATAATGATGGTCTGAAAAGGATGCTGGGGCATCAAATGGATTCTCCAGGAATCCAATGACCATAGGACGAACTGATTTTCCTCGAATGTGCCGTCTCTGGCTCCATTGGGCTTTCCACAGGTGGAGAGTAAAATAATGGTCTGAGCATGATGTATTTTCTTGCTTGTTTCCGACAACCTAGCAGCTTTGTCTAAATGCAATAATGTTCTGTGGGCATTTCCAACGTGTCTGGTAGTACTTTGCACTCATCGGTCCGTGGACTCGTCGGGTTCTCCGAAACCCCGCAAACTGGATGTAAATCAATGGGAGCTTTGCAGGCATTCGGACAGCAGCCGCGTACGCGCCCGACGCCTTGGTCCGTGCCGAAAAGACCCTCTTCACACAAAGCAGTTGCCGCAACATTCATGACGGTTAGCGCCGCTTCAGAGCGAATGTGACTCCACGACATTGATGCCAGTCAGATGCGACCGGACGAGCGGGCGACGCCACTTTAATGCCGACACGGCGATCGAGAAGCCTACTCCGGCCAGTGAGCCACATTGAAGAAGGTTTCCCATCCATTCGCCTGGTCGTGCGTATTTATGCACTGCTCTGGTGCCGTCTACACTACACCGCCCATCCCCCATCTTCCCTCACGGCACATTCTGTCATCTCCGCTCACAGGACGATGCCAAAATCGTTGTTCTCCGCGCCGACAAGCAGCGGCTCCAGATCTCTTTCCGGGTTCGGAACTTGCCGCTGCCGCCGTCGCTCTCTGGTGCCCTTAACATCCACCGTGACCGGCTCCTTCGTGAAGATCTCATCTAGTGATGAGGAGGAGCAACCAATGTAGCAGTCGCGCCTCCTCATGGAGCCGACGAGGACGGACGAGGAGTACCAGCAGCAAATCGAGCTTATGATCAAACTGTAGTTGTGGGACTGTGGCCCAACACCACCCTCGACGCCGCCAGCCTACGTGAAAGGAGGAGTCGGCATGCCGCCTAGCCGACCAGTCAAGGCGGAGCCGGTAACCCCGTTGCTCCACGTCTGGCGTGATCGGGCACCTCCTCCACTACCTCAGTGGCCACAGTGGCGACGGCTCCTCATCGTCGTGGACCACCGTCACGAAGGAGGATAGGTGGCCAGGCAAGCGGCGCGGCGGAAGTCGTTCAACGCAGCGTGCCGCTCGATGTTCACGAAGTCTTGATGCGGTGTCGGCATGAGCCCGCGACCAGTCGGCTGGCATGGAGAAGGATGTGTCGCATGAGCCGCGACTCGAGGCGGGTGTGCGGCAGCGGCAAGGATGGACGCCAAGATATGTAGTTAAAGGATTTTAAGGGAGGAAGGGTGATATATTCTAAAGTCTAAATACCTCTTCCTGTTTGTGAATGATTATAAGTCACATTTATTTTTTTCAATTTCATCACACATGGAGATGACAAGAAAGTTCTTAGAAGGATGGTGAAAATGAAGGTTAATTTCATAGAAGCACACAAAGGATCGGCCCAGCTCAGCTACTAAACAACTATAGCAAAGTCACGTGAGTTTCCTTCCCATTTCCTGTCCCAGACGCGGAAACGCGGCTTGACCTTGACTCCACCCTCCCCTCTTCACTATTTATCATCCCTCTCGGAGGCCCCAAATCCCCATCACATATTCACATCTCCTCTCCTCTGCACCACATTCTCAACCCCGCGCTCCCGTCCTGCCGCACCACCGCTCAATCCACCTCCGGCCGCAGATCCGTCGCTCCCTGTGAGCCAGCGCCGCCGCGCTTACTCGCAGCACACAAGCGTAGCTACTAGCTATCAGCCAAGAGAGAAACGAGAGACCAAGATCCAGATGTCAGAAATCGTCAACAACCTCCTCGGCAAACTCGCCGACCTGCTGAGCGACGAGTGTCAGAAGCTCAAAGGGGTGGAGCGTCATGTGCAGCACCTCGGGGATGAGCTCAGCTCCATGAAAGCTCTCCTGGAGGCGCTGGATCTCAGGGATAAACTCGACCCCTTGACCAAGGACTGGCGGGACCATGTCAGGGACATGGCCTACGACATGGAAGATTGCATCGGCGACTTCCTGCTCAATGTTGGAAGTGCCAATGCCAATGCAGGTTTTATTGAGAAGACCACTCAACTTGTCAAGGACCTGTGGGCGCGTCATCAGTTTACAATCCAGATCCAGGAGCTCAAGGATCGTGCTATAGAGGCGAATCATCGACGCAAAAGGTACAAGCTTGATGATAGCAGTAGCTCTAGCTCTGCCCTTGTGCCCGTCGATCCTCGGGTGTCGGCACTCTACACAGAGGCGGCCTGCGTTGTGGGTATTGATGGCCCAAGGGAAGAGCTTGTCAATTGGCTGGCGGGTAGTGAGCAAGAACTCAAGGTGGTGTCTATTGTGGGATTCGGCGGTCTCGGTAAAACTACACTTGCCAAACAGGTGTTTGACAAGATTGGCGAACAATTCGACTGCAAGGCATTTGTGTCGGTTTCCCAAAGACCTGACATGGCAGGGCTCTTGACTGGGCTAAAATCGAAGCTTGGGGGAAACAACACTCGTGGCAATCACGATGTGCAAGACATCATCGGCAAGCTTCGAGAGCAACTCGCACACAAGAGGTACTTGTTTACTTCAAATACACTCTCACATTAGAGCTAGTGGATGATTTAATTTTTTGATTCAATTGATGCCCATTTGTGGCCCGCGCCTTATTAGAGAGGGGGCTTTGGCATATTTAACATTTTTTTAAGCAGCTGTTATAGAGACTTCTTTTGAGCGTAGGAGAAATCATATTTCAGCTTTTGGCCATGAAACTTTTGAGCAGGATACGGCGAGAGATACGACTCTACATGTTTCTTTGTATTTCGCCTTCTTAATTTTCGTTTGTGTGAGAGAACTTGTTTGGTTGTGTGCATCATAGTTATGCAGAGGCCGGGTATAATGCTTAAACCTTTTAAGTAATAAAGCGCCCCTTTTAAAAAAATGAAACTTTTGAGCTCATAAAACAGATAATTAAGACCGAAGTTGTAGGACAAAGATAAGGGGCCGTTGTTTCCATATACTCCCTCCGTCCCATATTATAAGAGCGTTTTTCACACTAGTGAAAAACGCTCTTATAATATGGGATGGAGGGAGTAGTTCCTAAAATAATTGATGGTGGAGACTGAAACATGCCACTTTAGTCAAATGGGTGGTATACTGCGTGTTAGAGACACTCAACCTCATTATAACCTGTTGATGACTTTATGTACATGCTGTTTGAACCCAAGCCCTTTTCCATTTTAGTGTACGCAACCTTTTTGTTTCTATCTTATAACCTGTTTGGCAGTGCATCATTTCTTATCTTTTATCCATCACTATATATTGCTTCATTCTATAGTCCTCGAGGAGCTCCATAAGTCTCCATATTCGCCTGGAAAATAATCCTTGCCCCTGGAGCACTGGCATGATATTTGCGGTCAAAATGGAGGCATGCAGGCACTAGGACGATGTATTTTTGCAATGCCTGTGGGGGAGACACCGTTAGAGGATAGCTCGACCTTTGTTTGTCCCATCACCTTGAAAGAAGAGGAGAGAGTATAGGCCAACCGTGTAGTTCTTGTAACTAAGTTGAAACACAATGGAATGTATGGATTTTGTGTTTGCTTTTTAAAGCTAATTAAAATTAAAATGTAGGGATTCGGAAATTTTGAGTGGATTTTTCTTCCTTTTTCCCTATTGGTTCACCAACAAATTATTAATCAAAGCATGTAGGGGTTGTGTGGCACACATTTAATATTACTGAATATGTATTTCAAAGGACATTCTTATGATTGTGATTTTGTTATTAGGAAACAAAATATGTCACAAGATGCTTACGTCAAAATTTGAACTTGCATGGTAAAAAATACACCCTCTATATATCTTGGCAGAGATAGTAATGATTTTGTAGCATAGGAATTCAGAGCTACATTAAATCCATTGTAATTGAATTTTAACTTGTGCATGTAATGTTAGTCTTACTTAGGGGTGAATGTCATATGAATCTCCTGATTAAGCCTAAAAAAGCAGATTTTCTTTAACCAAGTTTCTTATATTGTGTTAGTTTATCCTCTCTTTGAAAGCATTCAATGATTTCATCTACAATCTATAAGTATACATTAGATTGTAATATATGTAACTTACTAACATTCTCAAACCGTGACAGGTACTTTATTGTAGTCGATGACGTGTGGGATCGACCAACATGGGAAAAAATTAGTGGTGCTTTTCCAGATAATAGCAATGGGAGTCGAATAATAGTAACTACACGAGTGGAAGATGTGGCCTTCCTGGCATGTCGTAATCACCGGCAGCGCATTTACAAAATGAAGCCTCTCAACGACCAAGACTCCAAAAGGTTATTCTTTAGTAGAGTGCTTGGGCCTGAGGATGCCAATCCATCCCATCATGAAGAAGTTTCAACTGAAATTTTGAAGAGGTGTGGTGGACTGCCACTCGCTATTATTACAATATCTGGCATAGTAGCTAGTCGTCCAGGAATATTAAGGCAGGATTGGGAGAGCATAAGGAGTTACTTGGGAGTGCAATCTGCCATAGACGTTACCATGGAAGGAATGAGGCATATATTAAACCTAAGCTACATGCATCTTCCCGTTGATCTTCGGGCATGTTGCTTACGTCTTGGAATGCATCCAGAGGACCACGAGATCATGAGGGATGATCTTCTTCGACAATGGATAGCTGAAGGCCTTGTGAGGAATTTACCTGGGCAAGATTTGGAGGATGTTGCAAGGAGTTATTTCAATGAGCTTATCAATAGAAGCTTGATTCAGCCTGAAAGGACAATCGCTGGGGATGTGGTTTCTTGCACAGTGCATGATATGATTCATGAAGTGATTATCAGCAAGTGTGAAGAGGAAAATTTCATGAGTGTGGTATACAATTCTGATGACATGCCAAAACTGCATAAACGCAAGCTCAAGGTCCGCCGATTGTTCCTGAGCTCGAGTTCTGATGATGCAATAGATGGTACAATATCAAGGACCACTGATACTAGTCTGTCAAAGGTTAGATCGATTGTATCATTTGGAGAGTCGTATTTTTTAGCTAGATATCTCCGGGTGCTGTTCATTGGAAACTGGAAGATACACACAGTAGATCTCAGTGATATCAACCAATTGTTACATCTGAGGTATTTGAAGGTTACAGCAGAAAACATAAAGCTTCCGTCTGAATTGAAAGGACTAGTGCATTTGGAGACACTGGAAATGACTTGTCGTTCAATCCCGTCTGATGTAGTTCAGTTGCCCCGTTTGTCCCACCTGGCTGCTCTATGTCACAGGCTGCCTAGTGGGATCGGGAACTTGAAATTATTGCGAACTCTGAATGGGTTTCAGTTGACAGGTTGCTCCTCGGAGGATATCAATGGCCTGGGCGAGCTAACAAATTTGCGAGAGCTCTTTCTCAGAATAGAAGATACAGTTGAAATTGATGATGCTTTGGCCTCCTCCATTGAAAAGCTTCGTAAACTGAGACATCTCAGGCTTTTTCATAACGGGAATCTTGAAAATGACAGTCTGTTATCATTATCAAATCCTCCCCTCCATATCGAGACACTTCGAATGAATGGAATCGTGACCTTCAGAATCCCAAGGTGGATTGGTGATCTCCATTATCTCCGTTACCTGGACCTGCGTGTTAGGGAGACATCAACTGATGACATTCGTCTTCTTGGAGAGCTGCGCTCCCTGATGGAATTCAGATTATACTTGTTTCATTTCGCTGCCAATGGAGTTATCGTAATCAGAACAGGATTATTTCCAGCTCTGGAGTACTTTCAGGCAGACTTTCGAGAACAGCGTCATGAGGTACACTCTGCAGAAGACGATGTTATGGCACACCTGTGCTTTGAGGTCGGGTCAATGCCCAAGCTACAAAGGCTCGAGCTACATTTATCTGAGAGGCACTGGGGCGGCGCTACCCCAGTTGGCGTAGAGCACCTGTTAGCTCTCAAGCAAATCAAGTTAGCATTCGCCTACCGCGGCAGCAGTGATATTGATGAAGTGGATCGTCGTGCTGAGTCTGCGTTCAGGGACGCCTTGCAAGGGCACCCGAACCATCACTCCATTCGCATCAATTAGCAGCAAGAGCAGGCCGCAATTAGTCTTTCGATCATCTTTTTCCAGAGCTCGCTCGTCCCTTCGCTATTTAACATCTCTTGTTTATTGAGTGTTGTTCTTGTTGTTAGCTCTCTTGTAAACCATGTAAACCTGATGGGCACAGTGTACGTGTTTTCAGACATTCCTTTGTTCATTTATTTATTCACTCAGTTAGTGCAGTGCCGATCAAGGTTAATTTCAATTATTTAGTCAAGCGTATATCTTTTTATTTTTTATTTTTTTTTAGAAAAGGAGGATGACCCACGGCCTCTGCATCTGGGAGATGCATACGGCCACTTTATTGATTATTCTCGAGGACCTTACAAAGTATTACAACAATATGCCTGAATCCGCCATCTTGGCAACATATGCCACTACTACTATCCAAATGATGCAGGGGGCTACCTGGGCCACATACCCAGACTACTCACCTAATCATATCATCAAAAGCCAGAAGCCCCAGCAGAGCCACATACCGGGTCTGGGGCATAAATTGGTCTGACGTACTCACATGTGTCATCGCCGCCATCTTCCACAGGTCCGTCTTCAGAGCAGATATTGAGGCTTCTACCTTGTCAGGTCACTCCGTCATCGACGCCACCTTGACGCCAGACAACTACCTCCACCTGCGCGAGTCCATCACCGCGCATCGGGCGCCGAGTCTCCACTGCACCACGCCGCCGAGATCCGCCGTCATCAATGTGAAGGATGAAGCACCGCTCCACCAAAAAGGCGCCCGCTGGTCCCTCGATCCCGTGTACGCTTCCAAGAATGACGCCCCCAAGGAGGAAACGACACCAACCGCGCTGCCGTCACCCGATCAACTGATCTAGGGTTTCCCCTGGAGGTAGCGGATAGAGGTCTAGAGCTTCTCCACGGCGATGCCTTCAAGAAGGTAATGACACAAAAGGGTGCCACCATCGCCGGTCTTGGCATCAAGCCGAGCACAAGGTTTTCACCCGGGTCCGCTCGAAGAACCTCCATCACGTATTGTGTGCACGGGTCGCCGCCGATCTGAGCTGCCGCACATCGAGCAGGCCGCACCGGCCAGATCAGATTTGTCCGGAGGGCACAACCCACATGGTGCCAACCCAACCACCAGGCCCTCCATGCCGCCACCACCGATCCGAGGTCAGATGGTGTGTCGCCGCAGACCCGGCCGCCGCCGCCGAACGCCGCCACGCTGCCCGAGGCAGAGCCGGCTGCCGCACCCCCACCATCGCCGCCCTTGGCCGAGGCAGCCGCCGCGCCGCCGCCGGAAGGCAGGCCCGCCGCGCCGCTAGGCGAGATCGGCCCTTGGCCGAGGCAGCCGCCGCGCCGCCGCCGGAAGGCGGGCCCGCCGCGCCGCCAGGCCAGATCGGCCGTGCCACCCACGCCGCGGGGCTCCGCACCGCCCCCACGGCGCAGGCAAGAGGGAAGACCCCCGCCACCGCCGTCAGCCCCGGGCTATCCCGGCGGCGTCCTTCGGCGGCGGCGGAGGGAGGGGAGGAAGGATGGGGACCCCCGGCGGCTAGGGTTTCAGATCCCGCCGGAGTCGCTCGAGCGGGGGCGACGCAGGGGGCGGGGGGCGGGGAGCGGGAAGCCGTAGCACCTCATGTTCTCGTTATACTACCTGTATATATAGGCTATTGGCATAGCAGTGCATCTCCAACGAGTGGAAAACACACACTCATTGAGTTCATGTTCAATCTGAGTAAATTTGAGGATCCTTCGGCAACAGTAGTAATAACCACAGTACTGACTCTTATCTCTCTCTCCTTAACTTGCTTCGCAGTACTTCCAACATCGAAATAAGAGAAATCCACGAATTGCAGCTACACACTCCCAAGGAATAAAAGATTGACAATCCAAGTCATATGCCCTAGCTTGTTACAGCACTCGAAGCGGATAGAAGTGATGTGGCTGCAATTGCAATGTAAACAAGGACCAAGGTCATCACCAGCAGCAACGACATATAGTCCCTCCGTCCCAAAATTCTTGTCTTGTTAGATACATCCGTATATAGACAAATTTAAGACAAGAATTTTTGGACGAAGGGAGTACCATATACAAAGTGGAGGCTCTCACAGGCACAGACTCGTACACTTTTATGTATTTGGCAAGACGCCTTGGAACGACAACATAAACACAACCTCGGCGAGCCAGGGGTACATGTTTTTTTTAGGGAAAGCTAAATACAACAACAACATGGGTAAGCAACAAAGTTATCTTAATAAGTATGATGTTAAAAAAAACAAGTTATCTCAATACATTCACAGGCCTCAAAGGTCGAATAATCCTTGAATCTTTTCCTGGAAGAATAGAGGTACGTAAAGATGAAGTCATTGCGGGTCATAGAGTTTTGATTTCTACCGAAAGGAAGAGGAGAACAAATCAAGATCGACCGACTTACCAGATGGAACGTGTGCCAGCAGAACGAGCAGAAAAAGAAGAGCATGAGCTACAGATGAGCAGAAATATATTCAGAGCAGAGAGAGCCTTGGCTCAGTGGTTGGGTATGTGGTTGTGCAGCCCAACGACCCGAGTTCAATTCCCGGAATTGACAGGTGATGCACAGGGGTTTTTTCCCGTTTATTGAGGATCAAGCTTGGTGTATGGTGCAACCACTCATCAAGAAATATCTTGATACTCATTTGAAAAATTCCGAGGACCATGTTTATCTTGGTACTCATACTAAAATGGCCGTATGCATCCTTAGTTGGTGCAGAGGCCGGGAAGTGAAAATCTCCCCATTTTTAAGAAGGCAGTCCCTTTGAGGCGATGGGGAGGCGGACGACCCAGGCGACTCGGGCGGCGCCCGCGGCGCCCATCGCGGCCTTGTCGCCGGCGTCTGCCTCTGGTGCGGGGGCGTCGGTGGAAGGTTCTGGGCCCTAGCGGATTCAGACGCGGAGGACGAAGACGATGCGGCGAGCGCCGGAGACTCGCCGGAGTACTCGCCGACGCCGTCGCCGATTATTTGCGAGGCGTTCGATCCGGGTTACTCTGAAGAGGAAGTCGCTGCGATTGTGGATGGAGTTGTGCCACTCGACGATCCGGCGCGGCAAGGACTACGATCGGAAGACAAAATCGAGGTTGTTCGGCGCATAGTTCATCGCCGGACTACGACCGCGGCGATCCGGCCTTGGAAGGGGCCGATACCTCAGGTTAGTCTTCCAAAACCGACTTTGTCAGATTATATTACTGAGAGTTCATGGAAGTTAGTGAAAAGAAAGAAAAACCGGCGGTCGTCGCCGGCACCGGCGCCGGCGATCGACCGTGTCGCTGTGATCCGTGATCAGCGGATCGCTCGTTTGAATGAGTTAGTGGGCCGCGATGTCGGTGTGTTTGCGGGTGGGCCGGTTCTGAGTGAACCGGCCCAGATGGCTGTTGGGCTTGTTATCGCAGGGTATGAGGCCCGAAGCGATCCGGCTCGTACGACTACACCCCCATGCAGCGAGTATTCGATCTGGAGACGATCGGTTCCGACTAGGGTTCGCAACGGAGGACGCCGGCCGAGCTTCTCTGATCGCGGCGGGGGGCGCGCTACGCGTATCCCTCCTCTCAGTACTATGGCAGGACGTGGAGTCCCCTCTGCCAGCGACGTTGCTCCGGGCACTGCGGGCCGTGGAGGGCCAACGCAGTCGCCGGCAGGTGGCCGCGGCGGAGGCGCCGCGCTCACGGGGACGGGAGGCGGCGGCGTGGGTGTGCCGCTTGGTGCCGGCCGGGGCGGTGCGCCTCCGCCTCCGCGTCCTGGGTTTGGTGCCGGCCGCGCGGCAGCGGTCGTCGGCGGCCAAAGAGCGCCAGTGGGTGGCGCCAATATGGCCGCTCCGGTTGGCCGCGGTGTTGCTGCTGCTGGACTTCGACCTGCCGCGCCGGTGATGTTGCCGTCTGCGGGGCGGGGTGGTCCTAGGCCGCCATTGCCGACCCATGGAGCTGACGCGGGCCGGGGTGCTCCGAACCCAAGGCCGCCTCCTCCTGCTGCTCAGGGCCAGCGCCCGGTGGCAACTCAGGCGGGAGCTAGACCGCCGCACTTTGTGGCAAGGCAGGCCAATGACTCGACGACGCCGGTTTTGCAGCAGGCACAGGCACCTCCGGTCTCGGCTAATGCGGATGTTCGCTCGGCACCTAGAGGGCAGTGGGGTGACGATGGTTATAATGCGTACGGAGATGGACACCACCGGGGATCCTCGTCTACGGGTGGTGGATGGGGGTATGCCTGGCAGAGCGATGGTTCAGCCGAGAGGACTTTCTTGGGGCCGACAGGCGGTTTTGTCGAAGGGGCTTCTGGACCGACTCATCGTTACTGAGGCGGTTTCCGTGGCAATCGTGGTGGCCGAGGAGGCCGAGGGGGTCGGTACCGTCCAAGGCAGCATCATACCACTGTTGAGACGGTGGTCGACGCTATTTCTGAGGAGACAGACATGTCTTGCCAGGCTATGGACGTGGTGACGGAACTGGCGGCAGTGGAGGTTCCTGTTGCGGTCGAGGCCCAGCCTATGTCGGTGGAGGCTTCTGACAGAACTGAGATGGACAGGGCTGCAAAGTTTGCCAAGAAAAAGGAAAGAATGCTTTGTTATCGATGTGGCGATAAGGGCCATTTTATTGCTGAATGTGTGGCTATTCTATGTGATACTTGTGGTAAGCCTGCACACGAGTCTGGAGCTTGTCCGCTGTTGCGGGAGCAGATACCGAGCCTTATGACATATGGTGTCTTCTGTTCTGAGCTCACGTTTTTTGAGTCACCGACTGAGAGGGAGGTTCCTCAAGAGGTGCACAGTACGACAACTGGGGTGGTGAAAGTGACTAGAGGTCAAGTGTCTGAGGCTCAGATTATTCAGCGCCTCCGGGAGCTGGCACCAGGAGACTTCCATTGGGAGCTTGTCAGGCTGGAGACCAACTTATTCAGGGTTCAGTTCCCAACTGTGGAGGATTTACAGAGGTTGCTGATCTTTGGGATGTGTAAGGTTCCAGGTACGGAGGCCATACTTGAGTTCCAGGAGTGG